TGAGTTGTGCGAGCTCGTGTGAGTGTGTGTGTGTGTGTGAGTTGTGCGATCTCCTGTGTGTGTGTGTGTGTGAGTTGTGCGATCTCCTGTGAGTGTGTGTGTGTGTGTGAGTTGTGCGATCTCCTGTGTGTGTGTGTGTGTGAGTTGTGCGATCTCCTGTGAGTGTGTGTGTGTGTGTGAGTTGTGCGATCTCCTGTGTGTGTGTGTGTGTGAGTTGTGCGATCTCCTGTGAGTGTGTGAGAGAGTGTGAGAGAGTGTGTGTGTGTGTGTGTGTGTGTGTCAGTCAGTAAGCAGTGCAGTAATATGGAATAGTAATTAAAGGCTCTGATGCACACCAGTATTATATGTGTGTGTATTGCAGGAGCTAGACGACGTATGATGACGTGTGACAGTACAGTAGTGGTGTCCCAATTCTTAGGGGAATATTTTGACCTCTACCCCTTCACACTCTATTTCAAGCGACAAGGTGAAGGGGAGTAAAATAGAATTGGGATTGGGCCAAAGTATAAATAAGCATAACGCATAAGAAATGTTTTGCTATTATTAAACTACAATGGAACAGCAAACATGTGGCTGTTTTATACTCCAAATAAACAACAAAAATTATTATAATAGTCATTATGGGGATATTAGGGTGATAGTTGTTAGACTTTGCATATCAATATATAAATCAAATTCTTATATATTTTTGAGCTTTATTCAAAAAGTCATATCACTCAGTCTATAATATTTTACTGTTTCGCTATGATAGAAAAGCTACAGCGACTGTAATTTCTTGCACATCGAACACGTTCGATTTTTCTAACTTGTCATATAAAGACGTGTATCTGTGGAGAATACTGATAGTTCATGTGCATCTGACGGTGATGATGATCATAAATGTCTGCTTTCTGCTAAATGAAGTGCTCAGGCTTGTCATTTAATCAGTTCCTTAAGTGCTTTCTACAGATCGCTGGCCTCTGAATTGCTTGCTGACGTACAGTAAGTGTTTGGTTAATTTTGCGTTTGTTCTACAGTTTGTGAAAACCATCTTGTCACAAGGTCATGTGACGCCGCTGCCGCTCTACGTGTGTCCGGTGCACTGGCCGTATGATTACGCTTTACGCGTTTATCCCGTTCCTGACGTCATCGTCTTCGCCGACAAATACGACCCGTTCAACGTATGCAACACAGACTGCCTGTGCATCAACCCGGTACGCTTGCACCATATTCTTCTGAACATGAAATATAATGTGTGTGTGTGTGTTATGGCTGGACTGATGGAATCTGATCGTTCAGTGAGTTTGATCTGTGGCTGTCTAACGCTTTCAGGGCTCTTTTCCGAGAAGTGGCTTCTCCTTCAAGGTTTACTATCCGTCCAACAGAACAGTGGAGGACAGGTATGATTATTAATAATGCTTCAACAGTTACACATTTAAAGACACTGCTTTGAGAATCATCTCTTTTATTTCTCATTCTTATCTTTACAGCAAATTGCAAGGGCTTTAAACGAGTGGAACGCCGTGTGCTTCATGTTTTTAATGTTTATTTCTATTGCACTCTTTAAAATGTAGATTCCTTTTTAGATTGTTACAGTAGTTTCATACAGTAATGTTTGATTGGGTTGATGCACTTTTGAAGTAAAATAAATATGGATAAAATGTGGTTGTTGTGGGATTCATTATATCATTATGATATATGTTCATATGTGAATCACATCTTCGTTTGTTCAAAACCATATTTACAATATCTAGTATAGATGAAGTCTTGGGAGCCGCTGAATGCATTTGGATCGAAACAAGTGGAATCTGCCTGATGTTAATTTAACGAAATTTGACATATATTTACATTAGGGAGAATAAAATTATTATTATTATTACACTAACAGTACAGGTCAATATCTCACTATATTGTAAATTGCTTGTTTTTCTGGTGTTCGTGACAAATAGTCACACTAATCATTCTTATCAGATATATTGATGACCAAAACAATGCTGTTATCCTCATAAAAGCAGAAATACTAGACATGGGGCAATTGTTTACAATGTGGTCATATCTGCTGGATAAGCTTGCCATGTTAAGAGAGTGTAAAGGTTAATTATCACGTGCTGTGGGCGGGCCAGAGAAGGTCATCGCCTACTTAATATTCATGAGCCAGACCTTTAAATACTGCGGCGACTTCTCGGTTTTCTCGGTTTTCTGGACTCCACACAGACTCCTCTTCTTGATATTCTTCAGCCAGAAAGTCATCTTCATCTGATTTACTGAGTCGCTGAATCACAGAGGGGTTTTAAAGCCAGTAAGTCTTGTTTTCGGTTTACTTTCACTTTGTGAACGAGCAAAGAAGATCATCGAAATGATTTCATCGCTTTCTGTCTCTAGTGAGTGTTTTTGTCAGTTTGGCCAAAACCAGAAGGACTCGTGTTTAAAGCCGGGCTGCACAGTGTGTGGACGGTATTATCGTGTCTTCTGCTACAGGACAGCGGAGAAAGGAAGGTTCAGATGAGCTTTTTTAGAAGTTAAACCGTGTTTAGCACAACCCGTGGGTGAATATATGGCTTGTTAGACATTGAGAAATGACCAATGATGGAAACTTAGCAGGAATGTGTTTAATCCTAACAGACCAACAGTTTAGTGTTTTAAGAACAGTCTACGATTATGAGTACGGAAGTAGAAGAAGAGTGGGCGAAACCGTGAATAATCTGCAGAACAGGGCAGATTAGCTCAAGATCCTCCAAATCTTCGACAGAAGTGGAAAGTGCTGCTGATCTGCTAACACTGAGCGAATGAAAGAATACAACATGACAAACACAAGAGCAGCGATGATCTGCTGACAGCACAGCCACAAAACGGGTTCAGTCATGCTTTTTGGGCGTTGAATGTCGCCAATGCCAGTAAACTAGTTTCCACAGACCATAACCTTTAAATACCCTCCTCCCAGAACTGTTGCGTCTGAAGGGGAACCTCATACAAATGCATATGCTGCAGCAGTGTTTCACAACCTCTCTTCAGTCGCGGCACCCTTTGGAAATTAACAAACTTGTGGCACCCTACTAAATTAATTTTGTCACAATGTTTGAATTTCTAACTTCGATATGATACTTTGAAAAGTATCGATATTCGGTACAACAGGGAAGAACTGCAGAATGTGTCATTCATATATATATGTGTGTGTGTGTGTGTGTGTGAGTGTGTGTGTGTGTGTGTGTGTGTGTGTGTGTGTGTGTGTGTGTGTGTGT